GGTGCTGCTTTCCTTTCAAGATCTCCTTGTGGTTAAGCTGTCTCCACTGTGTTGGCTTGCAGCAGTTCGGGGAGAGGGAGGGGCTTTCGGAGCAGAGGGCTCTTGGCCGTTCAGCACATCTGGTTGCACCTCGTGTTGTTTTAGAGTGGTAGGCACCTTTGCGGCTCAGGCAAAGGTTTCCCGCAAATCTGTTGCAGCCGTGTTTTACCGCACGCATGAGAATGCGGACGGGTATCCTGTTTTCTCAACCCTGCGTTGGTTCTTAGTGCTTGCATTCAAAGAGGGTGTGTTGCTCTCAGGCTGCGGTTGTTTGTGTGCGGGAGGCTGTGGGCTTGGCCGCCCCGCTGTCGCAATGTTGGTTTTCTTGGTTTGTCGGGGTCGGGCCGTGGGCACAACCGTCGAGGTCCAAAGACTGTGCGGGCTGTTGTTTAGCTTCCAGGTTTCGGAAGCACCAGGCAGGCTGGTTGTCGGCTTCGGTTTTGGCGGGTCAGGCAACCAAGACAAGTTCACGTTTTGGTGTGCAGGGCTTAGGCCGTCGGGAGGTCCACCGTCTCCAGCTTTGTTGTGCGCAGGCGTCCGTCTCGAGCAGCCTCACGTGGATCGAGGACGCCAAGGCCACGGCATTCGCCAACGAGCTGCGCATGGCTCAGCCACTGACGGCTTCGAACTGTGCCGATGAGAATATCACCGATGTAGCGTCCGCACAAGCTGCCGGTATCGAGATCTTCCCGTTGAACATCAGCTTGGTTCCGAAAGAAGCCAACCCATGGCTCTTCGTTCGCAGGCAGCAACGAGAGGTCTGGCAGGCGGCCTTCAACGCGCCGCAGGATGTGGTGGTGACCGGCTCGCCCGGCATCGGCAAGTCCTTCTCCATGTCCTTCTTGTTGCGTGCCCTCATGAAAGCAAGTAAGACCTTTGTCTTCGAAGCACGCAGGTGGAACAGGGCGTACTTGTTCAAGCCTCACGCCGACGGCACTTACGAGGTCGGCAGCATGACAAAGAAAGACTGGGAGCCGGGAGCGTGTGATGAGCTGAAAGACCATGCGAACTACTACGTCATCGACCCCGGCGCGGCCGACAACGGAGGCATCTGTCTTGTGGCGGCCAAGACTGTCGTCGCCCCCTCACCTGATCCGCAGCACCTTGGAGAGTGGAAGAAGATTCCCAACCTACAGTACTTGTACATGGCCGCGTGCAGCTTGCAGGAGGCCCGGTGCATAGTCAAGTTCCTCCGTCCCGAAT